CAATGCAGTTCGGTGAGCACTGGACAGACATGGTCGGATTGCCAGATGTGCCAAAGAGTAGTGAGTCCGACTAATCGAGCCATAATCCTATCCCTAACCCTATACCCTAACCCCTTACCATAACCCAACCCTAACCCCTATCCCTAACTCCAAACCCTAACCCCTAACCCTAACTACCATAACCCTAACTCTAACTACCCTAACCCTAAACCTCACTTCAACCCTAAACCTAACCATAACCCCTAACCCTAAACCCAACCTCTAACCTCTAACCCTAACTCTAACTACCATAACCTTAACTACCCTAACCCCTAACCCTAACTACCATAACCCTAACTTCCTTAACCCTAACCCCTAAACCTAACCCTAACACATAACCCCCTTACCTCCTAATCTTAACCCCTCACCCAAACCCTAACCTTAACCCTGACCCCTAACCCTAACCCAATTTGGGCCATAAACGGCATAGGTTAGTATGCCGATTTGCTATTTTTTTAATGAAAATTTCACAGTGACATGTCCCACTTTTTCATATATAGCATGCTTATGATAAACGTAATGGATGAATTCACGTTTTGTTTAAAAAGTTAAAGCTGTGAAAATGGGGCAATTTTTTACTAAAAACAGCATAGGTTAAGTATGCCAATTTCTTTTTGGAATGTGAAAATGTATCGTGAAATTTCCCACTTTTAATATAATATACAGCATACAAAGGCTAAATACAATGGAGGAATTAACTTTTTGTTGAAAAATAAAGCCGTGAAAATTTGGCTAATTTTGGCTAAAAACGGCATAGGTTAGTATGCCGATTTGCTTTTTTTTACTTGAAAATTTCATGGTGAAATTTCCAACTTTTAATCGAATATATAGCATACTAACCTTAACCCCTAACCATAACCTCAACCCAACCCTAGCTCTAAACCCTGACCCCTAACCCTAACCCCTAACGCTAACCCTTACCCCTAACCCTAACCCCTAACCCCAACCCCGAACCCTAATCCTAACCCAATCCTAGCCCTAAACCCTAACCCCTAACTCTAACCCTAACCCCTAACCCTAAACCCTAACCCTATCCCCTAACCCTAACCCTAACCCCTGACCCTAACCCTAACTTCCTAACCCCTAACCCTACCCTAACTAACCCTAACCCCTAACCCCTAATCCTATCCCCTAACCCAGGGGTCGGCAACCTACGGCTCCGGAGCCGCATGCGGATCTTTACGGGCTGCTTCTTGACGATATGTACGTATGTACAGTATGTACTCAGATGCATTGCGGCTCTTGAAATACTGAATTTTGTACCGAATTGGAAAGAAATGGCTCTTCTTGTTATTTTGGTTGCCGACCCCTGCCCTAACCCAACACGAACCCTAACCCTAACCCCTAACCCCATAACCCCTAACCCCCAACCTTAAACCCTAACCCCTAAACCTAAACCATCACCCTAACCCCTAACCCTAACTAACCCTAATCCTAACTTCTAACCGCTAAACCTAACTACCCTAACCCCAACCCTAACCCCTAAATTATAACCCCTAACCCTACCCCCTAACCCTACCCCCTAACCCTAACCCCTAACCCCTGACCCTACACCTGACCCCTAACCAAACTACCCTAACCCTAAACCCTTACCCTAAACCTTAATCGTAACACCTAACCCAAGCCTATCCCTAACCCCTAACCCTAACCCCTAACTCTAACCCCATAATCCCTAATCCCTAACCCCTAACCTCTAACTCCAACCCTAACCCAACCCTAACCCCTAACCCCAACCCTAACCCAACCTTAACCCAACCCTAACCTAACCGTAACCCAAACCCCTAACCTCTAACCCCAACCCTAACCCATAACCAAACCCTAACACTAACCCCTAACCCTAACCACTAACCTCTAACCCTAACCCCTTAATCCTAACCCCTAACCCGAACCCCTAACCCTAAACCCCTAACCCAAACCTAACTCCAACCCTAAACCCCTAACCCTAACTCATAACCATAACCCATAACCCCTAAGCTCTAACCCTAACCCGTAACCCTAATCCCTAACCCTGAACCCTGATCCCTAACCCATAATCCTAACCCCGAACCCTAAAACCTAAACCACAACCAATAACCTTTAACCCTAACCCCTTTGTTCTTTTAATATTTGCGGATGAGATGTCATCACTATGTACCTCTTCTGAAAGGTAGATATTAACACATCTTATTGTACTGTCTGAACATTTTACTTGAACAAGTCCTTTGAGTAGAATATCATGGCCAACAGTATCAAAGGCTTTTGACAAGTCGAGGAATAGTGCATAGTAGTCGTGGCCTTTAGCCGGCTTACTGAAGAGAACATTTAATACATCATCGTTGCTGTGGTAGTGTAATAATATAATCCTCTCGAAAATAGCACTGTTTTTTTTTTCGAATACTTTAGTAACTGTTGAAAGAATAGAGATTGGCCTATAAATATTAGGGTCTTATTTTGAGCCATTTTTTATACACTGGACAAATAAAACCGGATTTTCACTCCACTGATCAATAGTATTGTAGGGCTGTTTGCATAGGAGCTAACGGATAACAAACACAGTGGGCGGGGACTCCGCGAGTACACGGGGTGGTGCCCGCAACGACGTCCGCACCGGACGGCGTGAGGGGGGTTGTGATCCTCTAGGGGGGTATAAAAAGAGATGAGCCAGAGAGCTCGGGGTTCAGTCTTAGAGTAATTAGGGGAAGACGGAAGACCGACCAGATAGGCCCTGGACTCCCCCTGGGACGCCGCCCTTATCAGGGCAGCGCAGGCTGGAGCCAGTGGCGTGGTCCCGTGAACCAGAGTCAGTACTCTGGGACTCCGGGTACCGTAGCCCGACTGACCAGTGTCGGGCCAGACAGCCTGCCCTAGCCCGTTAGTGGAGGACTCGGGGTAGGAAGGATAGCTAGAGGTGTATCCCCAGTTATACGGGTGAGGGGGCCGATACACCCCTCCAGTGCTGTACGACCATTGTGTAAATAAACACGTGTGCCTTACTACGGTGTCCAAGCGTCTTCAAGAGTACTTCATCTGGTGTCAGAAGAACTACGAACATGGACACGCGCCAATCAGCTCGGGCCAAAGTACAACAAATGGAAGACGCCGCCGAAATTGTCGAGCCCGAGATGGCTCAACAAGACATCGTGCAGCCGGGGCCGGACGCGTTCTTACCGGAGCGTCGGCATGAAGAGGGGCCGCGGACAGACGAGCTGAGGCTGGCTCACGAGAGGCTGGCTGAACTGCTCTACGCCGCTGCCGCCACGCTGGAAAACATCACGCGGCTGGGGGCTGGTGGTCCACCGCGGGGCGAGGGGAGCCGGCGTCCGGAGCGCCTTCCCGCCATTTCCGGAGATTCAAACTTTGAATTTCCCGCCATCGACGCGGCGACCGCTAGGGGCGTGGCCAGCCTGAACCTCGGGTCCGACATCGGCCGCGCTGGGGCTGCCGCGTCAACGACGGAGGAGGGCGCGTCATCACGGCTGCGACAGGCGATACCATCTGCCGTTCGCGCCGAGACACAGCCGAGTCGGGGAGACAGCAGCCCGCGGGACTCCACGGCAACCGCTGCGCTGCACCAAAGACTGCCTCCGCTTAAAGAATTTGTGGGCGCAGAAGGCGACTGGGGCGGCTTCCAGCGACGCTTCCTCGCCCACCAAGAAATGGCCAAATGGACAGATGCTGAAGCTCTCTGCGCGCTGCCGGCGCTCCTCGACGGCGACGCGCTCGCCGCCCTCACATCAGCGCCGAAGGAGAAGCGCTCTACGCTACCGATGGCGCTGCAGCTGCTGGCCGGGGTCTACGGACCTTCCGCGGAATGCAGGCAGCAGTTCTACGACCGCCAGCGGGGCGCGAAGGAGTCGCCGCTGGCATACAGAACAAGTCTCCTGGCATTGGCCAAGACAGCCTTTCCTCGCATGGACGAGGACGGGGTCGACGCCATGGTGACTGAGAAAATCCTCCTGCTGGCAGACGACCTGGACATCACCGTCGTGGCACAGGAGGATACAGAGATGACTTCCCTACAAGCGGCGCGACTCCTCCACGCCAACCTGCTGTCACAGCGGCGGAAGGCCAGCAGGGCAGCGGCTGGGCGTGCGGTGGCGGCAGCCACCCTCCCGGCGGAGGAGGTCTTCGCCGTCAACCATCGTCGGCAGCAGGGGACGGGAGCACGGCCGGGCCGGGATGGGTCGAGCCGCTTCGACCGTCCGTCATCGCCGCCGGCGCTCCCGCATTGCTTCAACTGCGGCGTCCGAGGCCATGTCGCCTCGGGGTGCCGCTCTCCCCGACAGCGCGGGACGACGCCTCGCCAGGACGCCGGGCCTCCTCCTCCTCCCAAGCTCCATCAACA